ACTGCAGATGGGGCCTCACTAGGGCAGAGTAGAGGGGAAGGAGAACCTCCCTCGACCTGCTGGCCACACTCCTCTTGATGCACCCCAGGATCCTCTCGGCCTTCTCTGGAAAGCCTCTGCGCCTGTCTGAAGGTGCGAGGCTGATTAAACCCCATGCAAGCCTAGACATGCTCTCCCTGCAGGAAAACGCTACCTCCCTTGGTGGGAGCAGATCCCAGACGAGAGCTTCTCCCAGACAGAGTGAATTTGCCGTGGCACCTGATGGCTCCCTGGGGCAAAGCCAGTCTCCGCACAACCGCGTCCTGCTGTTGAGTCGTCGTCGGAACACAAGAGCACACGCCTCTACCGTGCAAAAACCGAAAGCTCCGAAGCGAGAGGTGGGAGAACAGCCAGCGCAAAGGAAATCAACGGGGTGATAGGGGGCTATTGCCCATGCTGTGGAACAACATTCTTATAACATCTGTTTACCTACACTACACTACTACTGTCCTTTCAGGATCAAGAGAAGGCCAATTTAGATAAATGCTTAATTTCATTAGCAAAGCAAAACCCTTTCAGTGAAACAGACTGTTGTTTACGGTTGCATGTACTTGCTGCTGACATTCCGCGTAAAGATCGGCCATCGAAAGGATGGGGACGTGCCACCGAGCACATGGGGCAGGAGTTCATGGCACTCGAGCTGCTTTAGCACAGTGGTTTTGAAAGTGTGTGAAAGGAGATTACGTTCTTCAGCTCATTTACTCAGTCAGATCAGTTTTATGCTTAGTTCACCCAAAAAGCAACTGGAATCTGGAAGACAGAAGTCCACTAAGTCCTTCCAAGCTATAGAAAAGAGCTGGGTATGAGAAATGGCTGCAGTCTTCAAGGACACGAGGACCAGGAATGACCATACTGTCTTTGTTACATCATTGACTTGTTGGAAATGTAAAGCATGTTTAGATAAATGTTATTTTCTCTATGTATCCAGCACATTCATTTAACTGTTAAAAACACTTGTAAAAATTCTATTTTTGGGCCTCCTTAATTGGAATTCAGTTTCCATTCAAATGCAGCTTGACCCACCATGTGTTGAAAAATTACTCATAGGGTAAATAGGAAAGCTGCCATTTACCTTATACTAATATAAAAGTTTAAAAAATGAGGCTGAAGTGTACTGTGAGAGACAGCATTGCTTAAATAAAACTGTACTGATAGACAAACTCCATCGCTAAAATGAATTGCAGGATTCCGTGAAAAAGCTTATAGTTAGTAAAGATTTTTTTCCTTTTGTTTTATGAGGGGATATCTCTCAGCCCTTGCCATTCTTCCCCTCCGTTTCGCTTCCCCTCCTCGCTCCCAGTGCTTCCCTTCACCGACACCACGCGCTTCCAGGCACACGACCTCGCTCTCCGGGCTGCACACGGCGGCGGCTCGCGCCGCGCGGGCATCTCCCGGCAGAGGCTGGCGGGCAGCGGGTCTCCTTCCCCTGCTCACGCGCAGCTCCGCCGCGCAGCAAACGCTACTTTGGGGCAGCTGCCAACGCCACAACGAAAGAAAAGGGTCCTGCCCCAAACTGGGATGTTTCTTCTCTCTCGCCCCGGCACGCAGCAGGCAGGGAGCTCCTTCCCTAGGGATTCGCTGGCCGCTGCTTCACGCCGATGATGAGAAACGCACCTGGCATCGCGCAGCTTCAGGGAAAACCTGCAGTTTGCGCTGAAAGAATCACAGAATCACAGAATAGTAGGGGTTGGAAGGGACCTCTGTGGGTCATCTAGTCCAACCCTCCTGCCGAAGCAGGGTCACCTACAGCAGGCTGCACAGGACCTTGTCCAGGCGGATCTTGAATATCTCCAGAGAAGGATACTCTACAACCTCCCTGGGCAGCCCGTTCCAGTGCTCCGTCACCCTCAGAGAGAAGAAGTTCCTCCTCATGTTCAGACGGAACTTCCTGTGCCTCAGTTTGTGCCCATTACCCCTTGTCCTGTCACTGGGCACCACTGAAAAGAGCTTGGCCCCATCCTCCTGACACCCACCCTTCAGATATTTATAAGCATTTATTAGGTC